TCCTCTTTGAACGCGGTTGGATTCGTTCATACGCGAAAGATCCAGATGAAACTTCACCAATACATCCGTTGCTCCCCGCCGCATGTTTTAGGACTGGTCCCGAACCAACGCACTGTCTCGATAACTACTTTACGTACGTGATTGTAGCTCTCAACAATGAAGTTTCCCCCGAACTACAATATGTAGTAGCTTCTTCGAAATACAAATTTGGCTCACTCATTTTTCGCGCACTCTTCGGATCTACCCGTACTCTAGGTCTAGGTTCTTTTGACAACGAAAACCCTTCGTTTTTCTGCAAGGAGGCTTAAGAAGTCACTAATGCCGCTCAGAAAACGGTCTTCGTTAGGACGTTTGACTCCGTCAGGAGCGAGGACTCGCTCACGGAGACAACTGGCAACTACGGAAGGACCCCCTGCTGAAAACAACCGGAAACGTCCAGTTCCAACTTCTGGAGAGTCTGACACTGAAGGAGTTAGGACTCGCCGTCAACGACAGTTGGCAGGAGCCGTGTTCAATCCACGCGATTCCCGAGAGCTTACTCCTTCAACTTCGACTACGGAAGTTCTGCACGTTCCTATGAGAGTCGAGTTCCCGAATCAACTTCGGGAGAGTCTCTTACCACGGATGATAATCGTGATGGTGAATCAGTTGTCTATCAGAGCCGACGTCCCTCAAGGAATCTCACTTCCGCGGCTTTCCATTATGATCACTCCGAAGAATATTCTCAGCATCCGAAAATCCTCATTGGTTCCTTGGGGAATGTATGTCGATTTTGTGGAGCGAAAAAATTTCCGAAGGAGCCTCCTGGGATGTGCTGTAAAAACGGATCGGTACATCTCCCTCGGTTGGAACCTCCTCCGGACGAACTCCAAGGGCTTATGTCGGGAGCGTCCCCAGAAAGTAAGCATTTTCTCGCCAATATTCGGCGATACAACTCCTGCTTCCAAATGACATCCTTCGGAACCACGTCTCCTATGCCTGAGACATTTATCCCGACAACGTTCAAAATCCGGGGTCAAGTTTATCACCGAATCGGTTCCCTTCTGCCGACATTGGATACCAGTCCAAAATTTCTCCAGATATATTTCATGGGAGGTGAAGATTCTCAACTCAAGGAGCGTTGTTCGCTCATATCAAAAGTTCGGCAGGACGTTGTGGCCATGCTCCAGCGATGTTTTGATCGACACAATATTTTAATCAAAGCTTTCAAGACCGCACTGGAGAGCATGCCAACCGATAAGTTCAAAGTCATCATCAGAGCTGATAAGCGACCCCTTGGTGAGCATGAGAGGCGGTTCAATGCGCCTCTGATCGATGAGGTGGCCGTGGTGATGTCTGCCGAGGCTGGGGATTCGCGAGACATTTTGCTGACCAAACGTGGTGATAAGCTTCAACGAATCGCAGAAACACATCGGTCGTATGACGCCCTCCAGTATCCCGTTCTCTTTCCACGAGGCGAGGATGGTTATCATTTCGACGTACGGCTCATAGATCCTATCAGCCGTGAACCGCGGGAGCCCAAAGCGAAAGTGTCTTCCATGGCATTCTATGCGTATAGAATACAGGTTCGAGATGATCAAGAAAATCATTTGCTCAAATGCCGTCAGCTGCTCAACCAATTCGTGGTGGATTCTTACGCCAAAATAGAAGGAGAGCGTTTGCGGTTCCTGAGACTTAACCAGAGCAAATTACGGTCGGAAAACTATATTCACTTGAAAGATGCCCTGGCGACGGATGGCGATATCCACAATGTTGGTCAGCCCTGTATACTGCCATCAACTTTCATAGGCAGTCCACGATCGATGCATGAATACTCACAAGATGCCATGACCTACGTTCGGAATTACGGTACGCCGGATTTGTTCATCACATTTACGTGCAACCCAGCATGGGAGGAAATTCGACTCTTACTCACAGAGGGTCAAAACCCCAGTGACCGACACGATATCGTAGCGAGAGTTTTCCGACAGAAACAACTGAAACTACTCACTGCAATCAAAGACTGCTGTATTTTCGGAGAAGTCAGATGCTGGATGTATACCATCGAATACCAGAAACGGGGTTTACCGCATTCTCATAACTTGATTTGGCTCAAAGACAGCATATCACCGTCACGCATTGATCAAGTGATTCGGGCGGAGATTCCGGACAAAAACACAGATCCAGACCTACATCAAGTCGTGATCAGTCAAATGATTCACGGGCCCTGCGGGCCGTGCAATCCTTTCTCTCCCTGTATGGATCGAGAGAAAAAAATATGCACGAAGAAATATCCGCGAGCATTAAGCAAAGAGACACACACAGGACATGACGGATACCCCAAATATCGCCGAAGATCACCGGCCGACGGCGGTTTTACCGTCACGCTGAAGCGGACCTCGGGAGATATCAAGGTCGACAATTCCTGGATTGTACCTTACTGTCCACTCCTGTCGAAGATGTTCAAAGCCCACATCAATGTAGAATACTGCAATTCCATCAAGTCCATCAAGTACATCTGCAAGTATATTACGAAAGGGACGGATTTAGCCATGTTCGGACTCTCGAATATCGATCGTAATGACGAAATAGCGCAATATCAACTCGGGAGGTACATTTGCTCCAATGAAGCTATCTGGCGGATTTTGAGCTTCCCGATCCATGAGCGGTACCCAACCGTGGTGCACCTCAGTGTCCATTTGGAAAACGGACAAAGGGTTTACTACACGGAAGAAAATATTCATGAACGCATCCAAGAAGCTCCGAAAACCACATTGACGGCATTTTTTGCTCTCTGTGCCCAGGATGATTTCGCTCGACAACTCCTATATGTTGAAGTACCCAAATATTACACGTTCTGCACCCAGAAAAAGATTTTCCAGAGACGGAAAAGAGGTACCCGACTGCCCGGCCAGGCTGTTCTTGCTTCTGACGCTCTAGGGCGCGTATATACCGTGCACCCTAACAACGCGGAATGCTTCTATCTTCGTATGTTGCTCCACAACATTCGAGGGCCCACTTCATTCCAAGCCTTGAAAACGGTGGATGGAACTCTGTTTGACACGTATCGTCAAACCTGCCATCATTTGGGATTATTAGAAGATGATCGACAATGGGAGCGAACGATGAATGAGGCACAACCAACGACGTTCCCAAGCCAGATGAGAAATTTGTTCGCCATAATTCTCACATGTTGTAATCCTTCCGACCCCCCTGGCTTATGGGAAAAGTTCAAAGATCCAATGACCGAAGATATATTATTCCAAGTGAGGAGGCAAACGACGCTTCCAGATTTAAGTTTTTCTCCTGAGATGTATAACCGCGCGCTGATACTTCTGGAAGATTTATGTTTGTTAATGACAAACAAGACTCTCGACAAGTTGGGCCTCCGATCTCCCCAGAGAGATTCTAATGGCTTCCTGGATGCAGAGTTTCTGCGAGAAACAAGTTACGATATCGATGCGCTCGAAAACCATGTCGAAAGCACTAAACCATTGATGAATAGAGATCAGAGAAACGCCTACGACCTCATCATGAGCAAGCTACAAACCAATCAGCCAGGAATTATATTCCTCGATGCGCCCGGGGGAACTGGAAAAACATTCCTCACTAACCTGCTCTTGGCTGAGATTCGGAGCAAAGGATGCTTGGCATTAGCAATGGCTTCATCAGGAATCGCCGCGACATTACTACATGGAGGTCGAACCGCTCATGCCACACTGAAGCTTCCCTTGGATATAGATAAACGAGATGCGCCCGTATGCAACATCAGCAAACGGAGCGCCATGGCGAAAGTTCTGCAGTCGTGTAAACTAATTGTTTGGGACGAATGCACGATGGCCCACAAAAAATCACTTGAAGCGCTCCACAGAACCTTACAAGACATCAGAAGTAATCATTCACTCATGGGAGGACTGCTATTACTCCTTTGCGGCGATTTTCGACAAACTCTGCCAGTGATCCCGAGAGCGACCCCCGCTGACGAAATCAATGCCTGTCTCAGATCATCCGTTCTCTGGCGCAACGTTGAGATCGTTTCTTTGTCGCAAAACATGAGAATCACTTCGAACGAATCAGTCGCTGAAGGATTCGCTGCGAAACTACTACAAATAGGCGACGGAACATGGCCACTTGATGCCAATGGATACATAAAGCTCAACTCCGACGTCTGTCAATTGGTCGACACATTGCCTGATCTCATCCGAGGAGTTTATCCCGAGCTTGCTACGAACTACATCGATCGCGATTGGTTACGCCAAAGGACAATATTGGCTCCGAAAAATGATGACGTCCAGGAGATCAACTCGAGTCTTCTGGCTCAGATTCCGTGGGGAGTTCTTCGAATACAAATCCATCGACTGTACCCTCGAGATTGATGATGCTGTGCACTATCCAACTGAATTCTTGAATTCACAAACGCCGCCAGGTTTTCCGCCCCACCTATTGCGTTTAAAGATTGGTTGTCCTATCATGCTGCTTCGAAACCTCCAACCACCGAATTTGTGTAATGGAACACGGCTTTGCGTGACAGCTCTTCACAATCACTCAATCAGAGCAGAGATCTTGACCGGTATCGGAAGAGGGCAGATCGTTCTAATTCCTCGAATACCGATGATACCTTCAGACTCACCATATCAATTCAAGCGACTTCAGATACCGGTACGCGCCGCATTTGCTATGACGATAAACAAATCTCAGGGTCAATCCATTCAATATTGTGGAGTAAGCTTGCAATCCCAATGTTTCTCGCATGGTCAACTATACGTTGCGTTTTCGAGGGTCGGATCTCCGGACAATCTTTTTGTCTCGCTCCGGGCGCTGAAACCCGAAATATTGTTTATCCAGAAGTATTGTCTTCTCTCAATAAATGAGAGTGACGTGAATATCAATGATGCCGACTCTGACACATCATTCCCCCCTTGACAACTCTGTGCGAATCCACGCGACCACAAAAATGTCATTTTTAGAATATTTCCTCTCTTATTCGACTCAGGATAGAAAATTCTGAAGGACACGTCATCCGTCTCCCCTCATGTCCAGCCCCGAAGCCGGTATATATAGGAGTGATATTCTGTCTTCAATCGCTTTAGATCAAGAACGACGAGATCGGATTCCATTTTGTGTCGACCGCTTTCAATCACTGAGTAATAGTGAAGCTTCTCTGAGCCATGGATGCTCTCATCGAAAAAGACCAAGATGAAGAAATGATCAAGCCCTCCACGGCACAAGACGACGGTCATGAGAAGGTTCAAGGGGCCAATGGTGCCGGCGACATTGAAGATCGTAGCTCTCCTCCATCCACACAAGAAAACTTGATTCCCTCGCATCGAACCCACCAGTCGGCTCCTCTGTTCGTACGCAAGAGGCAACCCCCAAAGCATGTTACCTCGCGACCGTATGGCCAACCTATCATCATCTACCTCTGGAGTCCCTCAAACCGAGTATGGTCAACTTCTGAGAAGCAAGACGCGATGAACTGCCATGCCAACATACTGTCAATCACCTCAACTCGCGTCCTCGTGGTACCCTTCAGGAATCAGGCGCGAACGAGACTGGTCAAGTTGCACGACGAACCATGTGACGATCCTGAACCCCATCCAGAAGCGTTTGACTATCTTGATCATCAGCCAGACAGTTAAACGACGCCGAACTATAAGTTTGACCAACTTCGACCGGCATCTACGACAACAGATAGGTAACTGCGGAAAGTGCTACATTTGTACTTCTCCCCAAGACCTGGGAGCATTGGAGACGGAATATGTTTTTTCCAAAAAGCTCATGGACTTTGAGCTTGACGTCGCTTATGCCGACTAATTCCTAACGAACCAGGCGTCAGGGTCATTCAGACCCTACGATCGAATCGTTTTTCCTCCTTTCCGGTCTCACCGAATAATATATAATATTTTCCTCAAGTCGTGCCTGTTCATGCTTTCTTTTGGTCATTTCCTAGAATAATCTTTCAGAACCATAAATAATAAGCCATACATATTCTATATCGAGACGACACTCGCGGCGGTCTCTTGATGATCCCGTAGCGAAGCACGGGTAGTAAGCGCTATAATTCATAATGTCAGTCAGGAGGATCCACTTCGTCGTTTTCCGAAGAAACCGATACCATGAGATCATTCTGGATGGCTCTCTGACTCTCTATGATATTCCACTCAGAATCTCCCGCTCTGCCCCCTGCCTTGGATTTGAGCTCGACGGCTCCCCGGACTGGCGACCCCATGTCTCGCGATTGAAAAAGAAGATTTCTTCCTTTGTGTTCTGTTTGCACAGACTTCGGCGCGTGGGCTATCCAAGGCGGCATATGCTGCGAGTTTTTTCTTCCTTCATAATCGCGTATTGCATCTCAGTAAGGCACTCTGGATCACCGACGGGTGGTCGAGTGGTTAGCGCGCTTGTCATTACTCGTGCAAACGTGCGTTTCACTTCGTGAAATGCCGCAACGACGCCGCTCGCGCGGGAGGCGGTGTGGGTTCGATCCCTGCTGCCGGAAGAATATTCCTTACGGAAACGCAGGTACTCGGCCTCTATTCTCCTGGGTACATTTGCTCTATGGATCCGTCCTCGGAAGCAATGTGAATAACAGTACCCTGGACGTTAAACCTTGGCTGGTGCCAAGATCGTCAGATTCTGGTGCCAATTCCCCTATGACGAACTACGGATGATCGTCAACTTGCTGATAGGCCTGTCTGCTACAGCTGTTCTGCTCGATGGTATCGCAGTTTACGCTGGATAGAACATTTTCGCGCGTGGGCCCCCAAGGCGGCATATGCTGCGAATTTTTTCTTCCTTCATAATCGCGTATTGTATCACAGTGTGGCACTCTGGAGCCTCATTTTCATTGCTCAAAACGGTTCAGGTAGCTCGGAACAACAGACTCCGTGACGTATTCGATCTCCCTCCTTGCTCGCCGGTGCCATCGCTCTTTGACCCCCTCTCGGTACTGAGTGTCAGTCATCTATACACTTTTCGCACGGCATGTTTCGCCTTCCAATCGATAAATCAAATCTCTCGAACTCTCGAGGCCCGTCCTCGATTTCTCTTCGCCTAATCTTCATTAAGTGCAAGCCGTAGCTTTCTAGTGGAAACCCGACCTGTGCGTTACCAATCAACCCGAGCCTCTCCCCTCGATCAATTCGCTGATTTCTGGAATAGTTTACCTTAAGCTACGTATTTTAGCTACTTTTATTGTTTCAAAAAAATGCTCAAGAGGTATCGACTCTCTTCAAACCTGTAAATATGCGGCTCACGGATCGCAGGCAAATGCCTGTATAGAGCGAATATCGAGAGTTTTAGAAATCTAAGCGCTCCTCGAGGAGGATTTTTACACGGATGTTGACGAATACTGAAATCAGACCGATCACGGAACTGCAGACTATTTGAGCGAGACTATTTGAGCTCTAGCGTCCAAGACGTATCCGAGCATGATGAATATGATGTAGTATACAATATGACATAGCATACGGGAAGAGACACAGACTCATGAAGCTCTATCTACCTGCGGTCGTCTCGAGACGTAATCGTAACGTTCAATGGAGAGCGACGCATAACAGAAGTGAACTTCCTCACGAGGAGAAATCCCGAATGCAAGCCAGTTAAACCGAAATGATGGAACTCATTTTCGACATGACTTTGCGGAAAGTTTCCTCCGAAGACACAAGCGCGGGGAGTAATAAGATGTGTTGAAAACAGTCGAACGAAGCGATCAGAGCTACGACCTTGAGCCAAGAGACCCAGACGTACTTGGGTGTCTCGGTGGTGAACATCATGTAGACACAGAAAAAAGAACCGATATATAAAACCACGAACAGAAACAGAAGGCAACGAAAAGCTGCGCGCGCTTTCTCATCTGAGTCTGCCTCGGGTTTTCCCAGGAAAGCACATTGCGTGGTGTAGCACTCATGGAACGGGTAGCATGTCACGAGGAAGAAGGTCAAGTATATGGCGAGGAAGGAGCCCTGTGCAAACCAGAGGCAACTGCCGACGGCTCCGACTATGAGAGAAATCACGGAGAAGATACTCCACACGCAGAATAGAATCGAATGCTGAACTTCGAAAGGCCAGGATGCGAATCGAAATAAAGCAGAAAAAAAGGCGCCAAGAAAGAAGGCCCACACTGTAAATCCTTCTTCGAGAGTTTCGGCAATCCAAGATTTCAGATCAGGATATTTTGCGGCGATGCGCTCCAAGTTGCGTAGCATGGTCATTTCGTCGTTCGCATCCACAATTCGCCTCGCAAGAAGTTTGCATCGAGAAGCTTCGATCGCCGTGCCGTTCTCATTGAATTTTATGTCCCGGTTGAATTCGGAGAAAGGTTTTGAGCTTAGCATTTCCTTCAGGGCTCTTATGTCATTCTCTCTGTTCGATGAGTTGGAAGACTCGATATCGGCTGTCTCCTCTGTTCCGGAGAGTCGGGGAATTTCTCGGAACCAACAATTCGTCGTAAGCCTCGAAGTGTTGAGGGAGAAACTTTCGAACTCATTCAGCATCGCCATGAGACGCTCTCGTGTCTCAACATTCCAGTAGTCGATGCTCTCGTTGATATAAAGTGAAACTCGGTAAGCCCTGAGCGGATCCGATCTCCAAGCCTCGGGGAGTGCCACGCGCGGAATGTCCGGGCTCCGAGTGGATCTGGAAGACGGAGAACAATAGTTTGGAAAGCGAAAACAGGACTTCTGATAAATCGGAGCCAGTTGGCATCGGAAGCGCATAGTTACATAAATATGTCCGTATGCTCGTAAGCCAGGAGAGCGTATTTAACTTGGAGGAGGATTCCGCTCACCGGTGTGGGTCTCTTGAGCATTGCAGGAATCCCGAGATTCCGCCAAGCAGGTAGACACAGAAGACGAATATCACAATGGCTTTCAGCCAAGAACTGCTCAGCAGACATTCCCAGTATGAGCGGAAGTGCTTCATCAACCAAGGCTCACAGGAGCTTAGAGCATGTTGCTCTGTTTGATCAATTCCTATTCTTCCATGTCCTTCGGCATCTTCTTCTTCATGTTCTTCCAGTTTCTCTCGTGCGGTTTCTTCCGCTCTCTCGCCCGGATTCTCTACATCCACTGGTACCTCCTCTTCTCCAAACAGATCGAGTCGCTCAGCGTCAACCATGAGGGAGGCCGAGGCACCGAGAAAAGCTAAGTTCAAGAAAGCCGAAATCACGAATCCCACCGCAAGGGAAAAGCAGAAAGTGCTCCACGGAGGAGAAGACGCGATCGCTGCAAATCACAGAAGTTAGACAGATATGTTTTAACACGGACTGTGTTCTCACATAGAGTCGACGGCGCCATCTAGAGCTATAAGGAGCTTCCATCGAGAAAAAATCCATTCGATTTACCCAGGATCGATCCGAAGAACGTCGCCATGATTCCAAAAATCGCCGTGGCTCGCAGAAGTTTTGCCAAGCGTTCAGCTTTCTCTTCGAGAGAGTTCCGTTCATGTGCGGAGCGCGAGGAAAAGAGCTTCGGAAGGAGATTCGTCTCTGGAATTCAAATTCGATTAACACGAGGGAATCAGAGAGGAATGAATTATTGCTAATCTAATGGATTGCTTCAGTACGAGGTCTGAATCTTCTGGTCGAGGCACGTGTAGGCTGGACTCGTCTGCGCGGGATCGATAAAGAGTCACCCAGAACGGATTTCACAGAGTAGAGCCGTAGTAATTCCAGGGCTCGTGTTTTGTTCATGACCCCCGAGCCCAGAGGGCCAGCGGGCTTCGGCTCACGGAGAACGGAGCGGAAGGCTCCGCCAATCCGGAAATGTCACCCACGCGCCCGGCGGCACGAAAAAGGATGATCCAAAGGATGATCCAAAGGATGGAAGATCCGAGGATGATTCAAAGGATGAGTTTTGCTGCATGAAGGATCGATATAGAGATTCCCTGTTTGAAAGACGCGCTCAGTTTCAGTGCTGAGCTTCTGGGACGCTGAATTCTTCACTCTGGACACATCCGAGGGAGAACACGGGTTACGGGATGTATACCCCAGAAAAAGAGTTTCTACCCCTATCCCGCCAACTAATGTCATCCAGCACCTCCTCATCCAGTACTATCGGGCTCGAAGGATATTTTTCGAGAGCTGCCAGAACTTGCGGCCATTCCCTTGCAAACCTGACCCCGCTAGCCAAATAAAATGAGTCAGCTCGCCTTTCGAGGACAGAACAAATCCCGGAGCTACCACGGCCCTACTCGGAGCCGTACGCCACCGGTATGAAATATCCGTGATGTTCACTCACCTATATTAAGAATCATCGCAAAATACGTAATAGAGTCTATTTCGCCGGATCTGATACGCACGACAAGGCTGGCGATCGCTGAACAAGAGATACACGTCGTACAAATAGAGAGAATGTCCCACAGAACTATTCTCGACGTCGACGTCGTTCTACCCATGCTCCATGCCACCGGGCAGTTGAAAAGGACTCGAAGAACAAGGCTGCAGACGGTGAGGGCGACGATGTCCGCGTATATGTTTCGGTCATCATGGTATCGTTTCTCTGGTCGTGTACAAATTAGTGCGGTAATCACCAGGATCGCGACTACTGTGTAATACGCCGGCTTCCGGAGCGCCGACTTTCCGATGGCTTTCAGCATGTTCCAAAGGAAAGGGACGTGAAAGTCCGAACGATGAGTTGATGGGTGAACGCACTCCTTCTCTTCGGACACTGGAACCGTACAGCAGGTCATTAAACACACAGTCATTACTAGAGACCGGGACTTCATGCGAAATGCATATTATGCATATAAATGCATATTTAGGGACTTTTCCTCCGAAAATGCATAAAATGAGCAATGGAGCATGATTTTGCATTTTTCATTAATTTTCTACCTCCTATCTGCGATAATGCAATTATTATAATCACAGCAGCGCCGTGACCGCATTTATCGGTTCCAACAATTGGTGACGGGAGACTTTGAATTATTGGCAGCGGTCAGCTGCGCGGTGCTCTAGAGAGCTTCGCGAAGAGAGGTGTCGGCTGTCACCGGTCAGCTGTTTGCGGTAACTGGTCAGCTGTTTGCTGTCACCGGTCTGTTTTCGTCTGACTGCGACATGCGATTCTGAGTCGGTTTGCGAGAGCGAGCAATCATAGTCTCGATAGGTGAAGGAAAAGAAACCGTTCACGTGGAATCATATAGCAACTGGGACGAGGATATCCGACCGCCTGTATCGATCACTGAATTCTCCAGCCTCTCTCGCTCGAGTGTGTGCTCAGGTTGTGCTGCCGCCCGCCACCCGCCACGAAATGCCAAAAGTCGCAGCCAGCCGAAAATCGAAGCTCGAGTCCTATGTCAAGGAGTTCGGAAACGACATACTCTCCACAGATGGAATGGTACTGCTTTGCAAAATCTGTGAGAAAGAGGTATGCGTTGACAAGAAGTTCCAGGTAGTGCAACACGTCAAAGGTGTCCTCCATAAATCATTAGCTGAGAAGAAGAAAAGATCTTCTTCATCAAGCTTGGTGCAATTGACAACACTGAATCGCGCATCAGGGAAGCTGTCCCAATTCAATATGGATCTTTGTGATGCCTTTGTCTCGGCCGGGATTCCGCTGTGGAAACTTGAGAATGAAAAGCTCCAGAACTTCCTCCGGAATCACGCTAGGCAAGAGGTCCCATCTTCTTCGACTCTTCGAAAGGGCTACCTGCGAAGTATATACGAGGATAAGCCGGAATACATCAGAAGTCGCGTCGCAGGAAAATATATTTGGATCTCGATTGACGAGAGCACTGATGCCGTGGGTCGATTCATCGCTCAAACCATAGTCGGAACACTGGATACCTCGGAGAGTGGAAGATTCCTCTTGCATGCGGAATGTTTAGATAAGACGAACAGTTCGACCATTTCCCAAGCCTTCATGAATTCACTGAGCTTACTGTGGCCTACCGGCGTTGAGCACTAGAGAGATCTGCTCTTCGTTACAGACGGAGCAGCCTATATGAAGAAAGCGGGCTCGGCTTTGAAGGTGATTTTTCCAAAGATGCTTCACATCACCTGTGCGGCTCATGCCGCTCATCGCATCGCTGAGGAAATAAGATCAAATTTCCCCGACGTGGACAGGTTGATCTCCAATGGTAAAAAGATCTTCCTAAAGTCTGCTTCCAGGGTTACGATCTATCACGAGCAAGCCCCTGGGATTCCATTGCCACCGCAGCCAGTCCTAACGAGGTGGGGCACTTGGTTGAATGCCGCTAATTTTTACGCTGAACACTTCGAGCGATTCGCGGAAGTGGTTCACGCTATCGACGCGGATGAAGCGGCGAGCATCAGAGATGCACAAAACTTACTGAAAAAAGCTTCAGTAAGGGAGAATCTGGCCTACATCAGAGCTCATTTCGGGTTCCTCCCTCGAGCCATCGAGACACTCGAAGCCCAGTCAGCTCCACTTGTCGATAGTCTCGGCATCTTCGACGCGATGATCGAAGACCTCAAGAAGGCCCCTGGTGACGTTGGGCGATGCATCCGAGACAAAAGCGAAGCGTCTGTGGCTCGGAACGGTGGTTTCAGCACCTTAAGAAAAATCTCGAGTGTTCTCCAGGGAGATCACAGTGCAGATGGAGTCCCTGGTTTGGACTCATCTGAGCTGGCTTGCTTCAAGTTTGCTCCGATCACCTCTGTAGACGTCGAGAGAAGCTTCTCTACACTCGCACATATTGAGCGATCGACGACAGAATTTCACGTTTGAAAACCTGAGAATGCATGTGATAGTCTACTGCAACCAATGAACTAACTTGTGTACATGAATAATTTAAAATCGGGACGACGTATGTGAATAAACAGTGAACGAATCCTTCGGAAACTCCCGAGTAGGCGCTTCTGATCACATTCTTTTGAGTGCATGTATCGCTCATTTTTGGAGCATATTTCGCTTGTTTTCAGTGCATATTTGCATGCATATTTTCGCTTTTTTTAGTGCATGAAGTCCCGGTCTCTAGTCATTACATAATATATAGCAAGTCTTCGTCGAAAATTTATGTCCGAAGAATCAATTGCACCCAAATGCAGACATAGGCATACTCCTTTGGCGGAAGGGAAGCGGAATTTTCGAGAATCGATGGTCTTTTCCCGGGTTAGAGCATGTACATCCGACGCTCTGTCTACTCCGGAAATCCTCTCGAACTCCTCGACGTTCCTCGGGAGTCAATGTTCACAGCGAAGAGCTGTCAGCTGGCCAAGAGACGCTAGACGCTGGAGAGCGTGGAGGAGCTACCCGCCGCTCTCCGCTGTGCTAGCAGACGCGGGGGTTCTGGGGTTCTTGGCTAGCCAGAGATGCATCCGCTCGCGGAGCGTGCCACTCACGATGAGCTCTAACACCAATGAAGCTTCAAATCGAGGCGTGAACACTGAGTGAGACAATGTCAGAAAAATTAGCGGTGGAATTGTACGAGAAAGTCCGGCGTTCATTTCTATCCGGGAGAGGTGTAGATAATAGACCATAACAATGACCGAGGGCTGTAATGGGGAGTCCACATCACGATTCACGAGTCATGATCTCTGGTATGAGCTCACGATGCCAACTTGTTCCGCTAGACGAAGTTCCTCTTCCGATCCCTCGGACCACGACTCCGACGGCGTCGCTAGCCGACAACGACAGCCTTCTTCCGGAGCTCACGCGCGGCTGGACTCTTCAGTAATCAGTCGGAAAGGAGGCCTCCATCGAACTCGCGTTCTTTCCGAGTATTGATGGTTTAGGTTGACCAGGCTCAGTACTGGATCGCAGAGCGATTCACGAGGGAGAAAAACGAGATAAGACACGTGGCCCTGACGGAATTGAGACTCCCTCTCATTGCCCGCCTGACCAGAAGCATTCCCTTCTCTTCTGAGCTCGACTCGGAGTATATAGGATTGAGGCAGCCTGCTGTTTCACTTAGTCAGAGACGGACGCACCCCGCAAGGGGTAATAGAAAGAAGTCGATTTCCGGTGAAAGAAGGGGCTAGACTAGACGAAAGGTGCTCATACGGAGAGTTACTCACTTGGAGAAACAGGTGAGCGGCGGAAAATAGATACCCATCAATCTTCTGCCCTCACTAGCCTTAAGAGATCCATACATCACGAACTTGGCCAAAACGGCGACTGAGCAAACCCTTGACGAAATAGTGAGCCTCACCCTCAATAGAAACTCAGAGAAGACACGGGACCCTAGAGGAAGAACCACCATCCGCACCATCAGCTGTTCGTTGCCTGTCAATCATGATGGTGACAGCTGGCCGCGCTCCCCGGGGGGCGCGAAGTTTTGAATCTTAGGGCTCCGAGGGCAAACGGCGAACCACCGGGACGGGAACCGTGGGATGGATGACCTCGGACCGCCGGGCCTCCTGCCTAGAAGGACTCAGAGACACGAGGAGGGGACGGACAAGCCGCAACCAGGGAGATCGGGCGGAGAAGCTCGGAATGATGCCTCACGAAGTAAGAAGCTGAATACCCGCCCCACGGATAAAGCGGAGAGAGCAGTAGGGGAAGGACTAGCCTCGGTGCTCGAAGAAGCACTATGGAAGCATGCGAAGCTTTCCGAGGAAGGAGCAGATGACCCTCTGGAAACACCGATTTTTTTTTTTCGTTCGGAAATCCGGAAGTGCTGGTCACACAAGACGGCACACAGTTTAAATCAACGAAGGTACATAACTTCTGTCACGAGCGAGGAATCCGACAGATTTTCAGCCCCCATTACCATCCTCCCTCGAATGGACAAGCGGAACAGTTTTTCGACACTTTCAAACGCTCCTTGAAAAAGTTACAAGGGGAGGGAACGGTCGCTCAGAAACTTCAGAAGTTCCTGTCGACTCATCGCAATACGCCCAGTGCGGCGTGCCCCAGGGGAGAAGTCCCCGGCGGAAGTTCTTCTCGAACGCAGGCCCAGGACACCCTTAAAATTGCTTATGCCCGATTAGTAACCGGAGAAGAAGCTGGAGATTCCGGAACCGACTCACTATCATGCGAGAATGAAGGCCGACCACGACAAGCATCACGAAACCAAACCGCGACGGTGTAAAACAGACGACAAGTTCTTCGGAACTGTGTGTCAGCGCGATCGATGCCAATGGGCACCGGGCGTCGTTGTCGAAGCTCGGGAAAGCTCCATGTACAATGTGCTCGTGGACGGCAAAGTTCATACTCGTCACGCTAATCAGCTAAGGCTCCGCTACACTCCTGAAGAGAAGCGACCGGTAGTTCCCAGGGAGGATTTCGGATTGCAGTTAGCGCGGTCCTTGCCGTGTTTTCCGCAATTGGAGACGAAGTCGCCCGGTCGCTCGGGCTCGAGCGGAGGCATCGATGGTGGAACCGACCGACGGCGCAAGCCGCGATGCGGGGCCTGCGGTCGAGAAAACGGGCGTTGCTTCGGAACACCTGGACAACGGCCGCAGTTTCGCTATGCAGCAGAACCGAGTCTGGGCGTCTTCGACGTCGGCTTCGGAGGACTCCCCCGATGAATCTTCGGAAGCGGAGGATATTTTAATAATCTTCATTTTATTCCTTCACGGCCGTCGCCGACCCGGCCATCGTCGAAATCAGCAGTCGTCTCGAGGCTCTGCCACCTTCACAGGGGCTGAGCGGACTGGCTCGCAGCACGCCTTTGCATGTGACGGACGGTACCCGAAGCGACATCGTCGGCCGCCCGACAGATTCGTAGGGACGCCCACAACCGTCAAACGACACTCGGCCAGGCACTGCCCGGTCAAACGCTCGACTAGGGGAGGTGTTAGGGTGAGGGGCGCGCGGCACCGCCGCTAAGGCTCTCTACCCGTCGCCGAAACCGATGATGTTGAGTCCGTTAATAAATAGTGTCAATGGATACTTGGCCATTGAGATGCAAAGAGGATAGAGGTGTTCTCAGTCTCCTCCACTCCTAGGGTATCGTGAGTTACTACAGATATTTATGAAGGAAAAGAAGACTCGCAGCGTATACCTTGGAAAGCCCAGGCGGCGAAGTCTGTGCGAACAGAACACATAGGAAGAAATCTTCTTTTTCAATCGCGAGACATGGGGTCGCCAGTCCAGGAAGCCGTCGAGCTCAACTCCAAGGCAGGGGGCAGAGAAGGAGATTTTGAGTGGAACATCATGGAGAGTCAGAGAGCCATCCGGAATGATATCATGATATCGGTTTCTTCAGAAACGACGAAGTGGGTCTTCCTGATTCCTGGCTGACATTATGACTGAAGAAACAGAGCAGAACATGGAGAAAGTTCCGGGGAAAAAGTAGTGGAAGGTGGTTATATCTTCGTCAAGACATCCGCGTCTGAGACGGAACACAACAGATGTGGGTATCATTCGAAAATGAGGGAATTCTGAGAGAGGGGGAGAGGCGGTTGGACTCAAGCAGGAGTGCATCGACATAGAGAACGAAGATTAGTGGACCAAGAACTGATCTGCGGGACGTCGCAATTCAGGAGACGAGGCGCTGATGCAAGTCCCTGGGTAACCACAGAAATGGTCCTGTAGGGTACGAAGGGAAAGAGCCAGGAAATGCAGGCGGAGTCCGAACCGAGGCAGGCAAGGGTCAGGGGAAGAATGGAGCGCTCGAGGCAGTTGAAAGCCTTCGAGAGATCCAAGAAGACAGCCGCAACAAGATGGTCAAACTCCCAGCCACCTTATTATTTATATGAATTGCTTAATCTTCAGTGAGGCGGACTCATAGGAGCGTCCAAACAGGAAGCCATGCTCTTGTTGAGAGAGGAGTTCTGAGCGGTGTCAAGCTGCTTGAGAATATATTTCTCGAAGAGCTTGGACAGGAAAGGACTTGCACTGATCGGGCGATAGTTAGCAAAGTCGAATTTCTCCCCTTTTCCCTTGAAGACGGGAGTGACCCTAACACACTTGCAAGCAGTAGGGTATGAGGAGTTGCGGACGGAAAGTTTGAATATGAAGGCAATGGGAATGCAGAGGAAACGGATAGACTCAATGTC